TATAAAGATAATAATATTATTAACATTTTATAAAGATAATAATTAAGTATTCTGTAAAAACTCATTTATTATTCTAATTATATTTTAGATTTTTTATAGTTAAAATAAGATGTTTATTTTGTATTTTATTATGTTTATTTGTAGTTAGTTACACGAATTCAAATATGGAGCTTTAATGAGTTGTAATTATGCACAATCTACTTGCAATTTTAAGTTTTAAGTAATATGTATTAATAAACAATATTTTATGCATAAAAATAGTTTTAAAGAGTTTTTGTCAAATACTTTATAATATAGTATAGATAAACGTAAATATATATTGTAATTCTATTAACAAATTTGTTAATAGAATTTTTAAATATATTGTTACAGATAAATACATGTATAGTACATATTGTAGTACATAATGAAGTACACGATTATTAAATCGAAGCATATATATGTCAACCGAGTTTTTAAATATTTTTTGTGACATGTCAAATGTTTATTACAGTGTTTTTTATGTTTTGTCAATTTCAACCTAAAAGTATTTAATTAGTTTTATTAATTTTTTTTTGGAGATATTAATTTTTTTATTAACCTGGATATCTAACCCGTTATGCGAGCCGACTAATCCCAGGGCGATCACTTGCTTTGCAGATAGCCCGGAGTCACCGCATTTGAACCTCTGTGGCCATAAAGGATTTTTATTTCTCCTTGGACTTGAACCTGAAACGTTCTGGTACTTTTGATCTTTGGAGTCAAGCTCAAACCAATCAAATACCACCCATGTGGTTAGAGATATTAATTTTTATGGAAAGACAAAATAATGCATTTTGATTGGTACCACAACGGGGAGGAAATTGTTTTCAAAATTAATCTAAATAACTAAAATTATTTTTTTGGTTTTTTTATAAGAAAAGTAAAAGAGAACGAAATTAAGAAAACGAATTCTAACGATCATGAGAAAAAAATCAAGGTCAACCGTATGTTACTGACTCAAGTGTTTCACTAATTCAATTTATTTTCATGCAATATTCAACTTTAAATGCATTGCCTAGATCCAAACCCGCCATAATCCAAACCAACCGTCCTCCCACCTACAGTGTTGCGTATGGCATGGTCAAGGGATACCAATGAACTATCCAAGTTATGCCAATCAATCGTGATAACACATTCAATTTAAACACATACAAATAAATCAACGATTATATAATTAAAACCCGATAAAACCTGTCATGTTTTGTCCCAAACGACGTATTCATACTTTTTATACAAATTAAAATTAACGTATGACTCATAAAAACAAACCAAAATTGGATCACATACGGGTTTTCACGTTGGGTCGACCTTGAAACAGATTTATAAGCTCTTGTTCGTTATAAGAAACGCAGCAGCGAAGCTTCGTTCATTGATGTTTTTGGTGCTGCCAAAACACCCCCCCCCCCTCGAGCCTCCAGCAGCCCCTTACGGTTCTGTTAATAACACCCCAACAGGCCCTGTTTTCTGTGCGTATAAAACCACTGGAAAGCCCCTCTGTTTTGGTTGCGATCTCTTTGATCGAATGTGCTGCCCATTTGTTAATTATTATCATTTAAAATCTAAAAAGAAAGTAGAGTTGCTCTTTTTGGCTGCTGTCGAGCAGCTCTTTTCTGCCTTTGATGTCAGTTTCGTCCTAGATGCAGTCTGAATCTGCAGAAACTCAAAACTTAAAAGTTATAGGAATGTTTTTTTTTATCTTCCCAGATCATCTTGAATCACTTAAATCCTAGCTCAGACGAGTGAGGTATCTTGAAATACCATAGCCTCGCAAAGCTGTCAAAAATCCTCTTTTTGTCCTTTTTTCGCTCCAAAGTGTTCTAAACCTATCGACATATAAAAATACATCGACAACCAATTAATGAAGATATTGTCGTCGAAGATGATATCATCATCAGCGGTCGAACTCATGAATTTTTCATCCAAAAAAAATGAAGGAAAACGACCAAAAAATTATGCTGGATATGGTTTTAGGATATACATTTTATTTGTTGTGCATCATATACCAAGGAAAATGATAAGGTCTATAAATGTTAAATTCTTTCCTGATACTTTTTCATGCATCCATATTTATGCTATGCTTTCGAATAAGGAAAATTAACCTATGAAATGCTTTTTTTTTCTGATTAACTTGGGTATCCAACCCGCTATACAAGCTGACTAATCCCAGGACAACTACTCGCTTCACGGGTAGTCCGGAGTCAACACATTTGAACCTCTATGACCACAAGGGGTTTTTTATTCCTCATTGGATTCGAACCTGAGACCTCCAGCCACTTTTGACCTTGGGAAGCCCAAGCACCACCCTATGAAATCTATATATCTATTAAAAGAAGAACCAAGAGTATTGAGGTGGTATCATGAGAATTGAGTATTGAAGTGTTGATGAATTGTGGTTGAGTTTGAGGTGTCCCACATTGATGAGAGATTGAAAGATTGAAATAAGGAGGTGTGTATAAGAAAGAATGATGAGAGTCATTGT